GGACACAACACTCCTGAGCTTGTAGCAGGTGTTGGATATAATTAAGTAATTTCTTGAGTTTCAATTTGTTCTCAGATATGTTGTTTCAACATCTGGTAAAATAATCTTACACAGTCATAGGATTGATGGGTTAATTCTGAGATATTTATTAGGAAAAATAGGATATTTTGAGATTTTAACATTTGGATTGGTTAGAATTGGTTTATATTGGTGTTGTACCAATTTTGGTGAATAAAATCTCTGGAACAACAAAAGAAGAGCTCAGCATAGCATTGAGTCTGGAGGAAGAGCACATGCTTTTCCTTACTCTTGTCCCTTCCAAATTAGGAATTGTTAGCAATTAATTACACCCTCTACCTGGATTGACATATATTGATACTATATAGGAACAGCCTTGTTAGTATCAATTAGGAGTTAAGCTGATTCTAAACTGTACAGTAATAAGGGTTTAGTCTGCGCAGTAGACATCTTCAAAAGTTGATCTGCCCCCAATTTTAAATGAGGGGGAAAAAAAAATAGCCAAACCTACACACAGAACTAACGCTCATTCTGAAAATTCGTAGTGAATTTGATTCTAAGCTACATTAAAAGCTCCTCTCTGTTCTCAAATAATCTGTCTGTAACTGGTCATTCTGATTTCCAAAAGTATGCAGTTAGGATTCAGCAATCTGATCAGCCTGTTCCAGTCGATCAGATACGACTTTCTAGTTGCTGTATATTGAAGAGTACCTCAGAGTCTATGTATTCAGTCATTGAAAATGGCAAGTATCCCTTTTAAGGAATGTCTGATAAAATACTACTAAAATACAGCAGAGTTTCTCTTTTATATGTAACAATTCTGCTGAAGGAAGTTGCTTCATGCTTTCTGCATTAGATATAGATTACTGTATAAGAGATGTCTCTTAAGAATGCCCAATACAATTGCTCGCTGCTTGCCAACCAGTGCCCAACCCTAGCAGCGATCTGCCCTTCCAGGTGACTCTCCCCAGTTTCTATACTGGGCATGACGTGCTGTGGTATGGAATAGCCCTTTGTCTAGTTTGAGTCAGGTGTCCTGTCTCTGCTTCATCTTGGCTTCTCATGCCCATTCTCACTGGCAGAGCATCAAGAACTAAAACATCAGTGTTAGCACCACTGTTCTCAGACTAAAGCCAAAACACAGCACTGCACCAGCTGCTAGGAAGAAAGAAATAACTGTTACAGTTGAAACCAGGACACTATATCAAATAGTATTTTATGTGGGTCTTTCTGAATATTGTTTTAACTCTTACTCAGGTTTTTGCTGAGATCTACAATAGGCATTGCATCTTGTGATTCAGGGAATATGCGTTTGTCCGTATGAATTCTTCACAGCTTCCATTAGTACAGTAGAAATCTTTATGTAGTTATGCAAAATATTAATTTCTATGATACACATGAGAATTTTTATGCTTCTTGTAGTCTTTAGTTCTTAGCTATTGCAAATTATTTTACAAGTGTTTTTACTTAGTTTCTGTAAATTTTTAGTAGTCTTGGCATTTTTCAGATAGGGAAAATCTGCATAAATATTAAATAGTTCCATGCTGGAAGGAAGAGGATGGAAAGGTTGTGTGAGCTTACATAGGAAAATTAGTGGTTGTCTCTCCTGTAGTTAATGTGCTCTTAATGTTTGTCAGAATCTCAGCTGTGGTTTGTGGAATTTCTCATTATGGTATTTGCTTGATGTTTTTGTTCCTAACCTCCGCTTCATTCTTCCTCAAAAATAGGAGATTCTGGTGTCTGGGGCTTGAAAAAAAATTTTGCTTTGTTGGAACTCTTGGAACGATTGCAGAATGGACCTGCCGGACAGTGTGGGACAACAGAAGAAGCCATTGGTCTATCTGGAGAGGTACTGAACTATAAAAAGCGAAAGTTTATTATATTTGCTTTCTAGGTAGAAAAAAATGAAAATCTGTTTTTTGCCAAATGTAATTTCACTAATAATGCTGTTGTTTTCTTTCAATATCTAGTATTAAGGCTTCAATTAGTTGCTTCATAATGAAATGCTACTCTGTACTGACTAAAGCAGAAAAGAAAAAGATATTGCCAAGCATGCGTACTCTTTTCCCCTTTTCTAGGCTTTTAAGATTTTTGGAAAAGGTTATTCATTTGGATATTTTAGTTACAGTGATTTAAGGACAGTTTTCTAAAACTTCTTAGAAATTCTCCTTAAAGACTTCAACTTCTGGAATAGATGGATTTTATAGTCATTTGATATCACTGTATCGTGTGATAGTACTTCATTATCAAAACTAGCTGCTTTAATCATTTCAGTGTTAACAACTGGTATGCAAAAAATATCATGCAGTGCCATTTTAGGAATAGATAACTGTCAGATAACTATCTGTCCTAAGTGCCTATTTGTTCATTGGTGTTCTGTCTGTCTTGTGTGTAACTTTAATTCATTGTTCTGTAGTGACTGCTTTGGAAGAAATGACTAGAGCCTGAATTATTTTACCCTCCAAACTTTTACAACTTTTTCACTGAAGTTTGGGTTTATAAAATGACTGAATAATTATATAATAATTTATTGGAGTTGACTATAAAGGAAACTGATTAATAGAATTCATTAAGAACTCTCCAACAAAGTTTTAAGTTGACAAGCATGTATTCTTTATTGCAGTGCTGGCAAACACAGGGCATAGCTCCTCCAAGCATGTCCCATCCGAGCATAAAACAAACTGTGATTATATCGTTGTTAATCATACATATTCATTACATTACATGCATATTTATGAAGTTACTTATACATGACATCATATTTCTAGATTATTCTTCCCGCATGCGCACTCTATTATGGTAGTGGTCTTTGGGACCCCTGGTGGTCATTTCTTCATCATCTTTCTCTTCATCACCTTGTCCTTTGGCTGAACTTCAAGTTTGGAAAGTCCCGTAGTCAAGCCAACTACCACCACTCCAGTTCTGGCTGGTTACTCTCCACCTCGTTTCTGTTACTCCTTTCTATTGTTCAAAATCACCAAGCTCAACATCCTGTAACCACAAAACAAAACTGAGTTTACTTATTTACAAAAGATAATTTTTCATTTTGTATTTTCCTGTCTCAAAACTGACTTTTATTTTTAAAAAATCTATTACAAACTTAAAATCAAGTTTTCAAAGTAGTCCAAGTATTTATTAGTGTGTAACTTTAAAGTCTGTTTTCAGGCTTATATTGCTGGCTGGTCTCCTGATTTTCCTCAGTTGTTGGGATTAAGTGGTAACAACTTCAGTTTTGTCTTTTTCTTCTCTGTTTTTCGTAGAGTATCATTCGTTGCGATGAAGATGAAGCCCACGTTGCATCCGTATATTGCACTGTTTGTGCCACTCACCTGTGCGCAGACTGCTCCCAGCTTACTCATTCTACAAAGACACTTGCAAAACACAGGCGTGTACCTCTTGCTGATAAGCCTCATGAGAAGACCATGTGCTCCCAACACCAAGTGCATGCTATTGAGTTTGTTTGTTTAGAAGAGGGCTGTCAGGCGAGTCCTCTTATGTGTTGTGTCTGCAAAGAATATGGGAAGCATCAAGGTCATAAGGTACTGCTGATAAGCTGTTTCTAGTTGTGCTTGCATAATTATTTATTCAATTAAAGTACAAAAGAATAACAAGAAAGGAGGGTAGATTCTTGGTGTATTTTTATAGAAGTAACATCACACTGTTCTTTTCCCTTCATTTCACATAACTGCCATGGTAAAATTACAAGGAAAAAAAACATTATTTATAAGACTACAATAAGTTATTTATATATTAAGATGGAGAGTCTCTTTATCTGCTGCTTTTCTGAACTTCTCACAGCATTGAGTCACCAGGTCTGAAAGTTGTTTTCATCATGCAAAAGCTAGGTTCACCCAACCTGGTACAGTCTAACCACTCTTTTTTATAATGATTATGGTAAACAGGCAAAATTGTATGTTTGTGTGATTGGTAGATGCCTTAGTCCCAGCATAATTTGTAACTCCTGATCACATTTTAAGTTGCAAGATGGTTTTAAATTCTTACTTGCCTTTCTTATATATCTACGCACATGCCTGTACATACTCACACATACATATATGTAATAAAATGGAAAATATGATTAAGGAAAGTATGTATGACTGACATTTGTTGTTGCTTTTTAATCAATAGCATTCTGTTTTGGAACCAGAAGCAAACCAGATTCGTGCATCCATTTTAGACATGGCTCACTGTATAAGAACGTTCACAGAAGAAATCTCAGATTATTCCAGAAAATTAGTTGGAATTGTTCAGCATATAGAAGGAGGAGAACAAATAGTTGAAGATGGAGTTGGAATGGCCCATACTGAACATGTATGCTTTTTTTTTCCTCCCCCTCTCCCCTTACATGCACAGAATACTTGCTTTTTGTAATAACCAAAATAAGGAATTTCTTTGAAAATTAAACGTGGAGTTTTATAAGACAAGGCCTTAAGTTCTTATCTCTACCAAGGTGGTATTGAGGCTTAAGCTAGCAGATAGGGGTGAATCTGTAGTTTGTTAAAATGTGTTTAAGGCTACATGAAAATAGGGAGGCAGCAGTATTGAAGTACTTGAACAGATTGCATCTGTTCTTGGGTGCTGTGAAGCTTTCCTCCCTAATTGATTTTAGTAATGTGTGTATGCATACAAATAAACTGCTTGATTATTGGAGTAACTTTTTCGACAGTCTTTGTCTTAGGATGGATAAGACTTTCTGTATAACTGAGATTTGAACTATGATGTAGCCAAGCAGATGTGAACATAAGATAGAAACTGGAACAGAATGAAAAGTGTAATTGTGGAACCAGTGTCGTTAATCCCCTGGATCTCCTGGCTGCACCACTGTAGGTACCAGGGACTGCAGAGAACGCTCGCTCATGTGTCCGAGCCTACTTTTCTGATCTTCATGAAACCCTTTGTCGTCAGGAAGAAATGGCTCTTAGTGTTGTTGACGCTCATGTGAGAGAGAAGTTGATTTGGCTTAGGCAACAGCAAGAAGACATGACCATCCTTTTGTCACAGGTTTCAACAGCTTGCCTTCATTGTGAAAAGACTTTACAACAGGTGGGTTGGCTGTCAACAAGTGAGCTGTAACATATGACAAGATATGTGAAACTTGAAATTAAGTTTAGGTTACAAACAGAAAGGTTAGATGGTACTCTGCATTTTTATTTCCTTTACAGTGTTAAAACAATAATGATGTAACATGAGATTGAAGTATTCATTTCAAGGGGATGTTACACAACAGTAATAGCTACAAAACCATTAAATTCTCCAGTTGCTGGAAGTCATGCTGTGGCATGATTCTCTTCTCTGGAGTAATTTCTGGTTATTTGTGGGGCTAGTGGGAAGGAGAGATAAAGCTGAAGGAAAAAAACCCTGCAAGATTTATGAGAATTATTTTATAGTTGCAATTACCAACATATGTATTTGAAGGTAGCTGTCATAAGAGTCTGGTAGGAAAAACTAGTTTAGGGCTAAATAATTTTCTGTAGCAGTTTTAACACAAGTATTTCAAAGTCCTAAACCTGTGTAAGAAGGTGGCTATATGAGAATGTTTAGTTGGTCCATTATTCACTTCTGTTAGTGCATAGAAGTATATAGCAAGAAGTAAACAGTGTATGTAGCAAACTGAGTGAGAAATAACTTCATTAATGTGTTACTGATTTTTTTTTTTTATTTGTTTAGAGCTATTGTCTGGTTGCTTAGTTGGATGTACTTTGAACTATGCAAATGTTCCCATCATTAATGGATGGATATTAATCTTTCTGAGCTAAGTGTGTTGCTGAATACTGTAAAACAGCTGCTCTATTCCAGCTGTTGGAATGATATATGAATGATAAATATTCTTTATATATATCTTACTGCATCTTATAATTTATATTCTTACAGGAATAAGAGGGGCCAAAGAAAACTTAAGACTGCAGAACTATTTAGTATCTATTAGTATTAAGGAAGAACAATGAGGCCTTCACATTTTTATTGAAGTTTTAAATAACTATTTTGTAAATGTGAGTTTTTAACTAGAATGTTTGTATTTAAAATGCTTTATTTCTAGCTGTCATATTTACATTGTGTTTGGTTGTACTAAGTAAGTTACTACAGGAAATGTATGCTTTCGTTTTCTTTGTCTGTTTAGGATGACTGCAGAGTAGTGTTGGCCAAACAAGAAATTACAAGATTGCTAGAGACCTTACAGAAACAGCAGCAGCAGTTTACAGAACTTGCAGATCACATACAGCTGGATGCTAGCATACCTGTCACTTTTACAAAGGTATTCTTAATCTCATGAAAGGACAGCTATCCACTTAATCATAGAATAGTTAGGGTTGGAAAGGACCTTAAGATCATCTAGTTCCAACCGCTCTCCCATGAGCAGGGACCCCACACACTAAACTATGTCACCCAAGGCTCTGTCCAGCCTGGCCTTGAACACCGCCACGGTTGAAGCATTCACAACTTCCTTGGGCAACCCATTCCAGCGCCTCACCACCCTCACTGTAAAGAACTTCTTCCTTATCAAAACTTCCCCTGTTTAAGTTTAAACGCATTACCCTTTGTCCTACCACTGCAGTCCCTAACGAAGAAATGAAACCTCAAATGTACTTTAAAAGAAAACAGGGATAATACATGTTCATTATGATGCTATATTTGTTGCAGCTAATTTAAGCAGTTAGGTATCAGTTTGAGCCACAGCCTCTTATCACATCATGAATGCCATCTGGTATCTGAGCAATAAAACCATTGCACTGTTATAATTAGTGTGAGAAACATTTGTTTGACTACATCACTAGCTTTGAACATGAGCTCCTTTCTTTTAAATATGTAAGAGTGAATTCTAGAAACATTTGTCTTTGGAAACATCCCTGCTTTGTCATGCATTTAACTCAGAGCAGGCATCTACCCTTGTTTTTCTGTGCATTTTTGGCTTGTTTGTGAGGACAACATAACTTCTGCAATATTCATTATTTTAGTTCCTGAAAATTGCACACCTATTTTTAAATGCAATAATACTATTATAACTTTTGGTTTATAGTAGTAAAAATAATGTATTTCTTTCAATTTGTTAATTTATAATCTGGCTTACAGTTGCTGTTCACTGATAGCTTAGACACAGTACATCTAAGTTCAGGGTTTTTTTGTTGTTCCTTTACTATTAATTACTTAAATACTACCCCTTCTTTGAAAGGGATGAAATTATTTGGAGTTCAATAATGGTGATACCTTTCATGTAGGAGAGTAAATAATTTTGAAACTCTAAAGAACAAGAAATACTTCATGTAGGGATTTTTGGTTCTGCATGGGTGAAGGAAGAATAGGATCTATTGTTGCTGAATGTTGCTGTTGAAGCTTTTGCTATAAGGAAATGAGTGCTTCCATGGGGATTCTGCATCAGTCCTTGTTGATGTCAGAAATGCAGTTTCTTCCAAGTAATTTGTTTTGCATATTTGAATTTGCATGTAATAACTGCTTTGTCAGATTAATAAATGCAGCATTCTCACTTCTGCCCCTCCCTTTCCTACTCAGCAGAGACCAGAGTTAGTAGGGTCAGGAGAACCTCTTCTGAAAGCCCCCATTGTTCCATGAATGAAGCAGCATTCTCGTTTCATAGATGATGAATCACATTTTGTGTATTCGGAGTTGATGATGCCTCTGTCTCAGAGGGCTAAGTTAGAGAGGCGTTTTGGATGTCAGGTTTTGCTTTTAGGAGCTGTTAATCTGAGTCAGAAAATTCTGATTGCAAATTTCTGAGCATTTGGAAAGAGAATTGTTGCAGCCAGCTAAGCTGTAATAGGAGATTTGAAATAGGTCGTGGCTTGGGGGACCCAGAAGTCTTTAGTATGTCTCTACGCATCAGCTTTCTTTAGAAAGAAATGGGGCTTCTATTGTTTTTTCTCCTTTGACAAATTGGTATTTTTATGAAGTCTTCTGAAGCCTAGATTTTGAATTTCAAAGGGGCCAAAGCAAATGTCATTTTTCAGAAGAATAGCAACAGCCATGAAAAAGTAAAGTGAAAATAGTTACTTCAGTATCTTACTTTTTATGTTTCCTCACTTCTGACAAATTTTGAACTCTCATTCTGCACAATGGTTTTGGGTTTTTTTTGAATACCGTTGTGCTGATGGCTGCTGTTGTGACTTGTAGGGAGGCTTATACCTGAAAGGCCTGTGTCTCGCAACAGATTTCAGACAGAAATAAAATCTTAAGATCAAAAACCGTAAACTGTTGTTATATCACTGTAAAGGTCAGTCTTGGGAAGTCTCATGAGCTGAAGACTGCATCCATTCTAAAATTAAAAAAGCATTTCAAACAGTACCAGATCAGAGGAACTTCCCATATGCAGTAAAGGTTGTGGAGACTTAAGGAGGGGAGGGACAAATCCTTTTCACTGTTGAATGTGAGTAGGTTTTACCACATTTTTTTGTTTCACTGATGACACAAACCACATGGATAGTGCTGTTCCTTCCTTCTAACCCATGAAGGGAAATGCCATATATAAGGCTCTGAATGAAGTGCTGGAGAATTCCAGGACAAGATGCTAAATATTTTCTAAGAAATACGTATGTAATCATTTTTAGATTTCAGATGTTGTTAATGTCTGGATTTAGCAAGAATAATCTTTTGCCACATAGTTCTTACGATGGAAACTCAGGTATTTCATCAAAGTAGCATTTCTAAGTACTTTAAAATATGTTTCAGGGATAAATAATAATCTTAGCCTATGTTGTTTATTTTACAATTTACAGCTTGATGCTTTGTATTAGAAATACAGCTTGATCACATTGTTAGCATTGGCTCATTCGATACTCACAGTAGCTTGGCCTAAACTACGGATAGGAAATTCTTTTTCCTTGCATCCAAGCAAGACTTGGGGTTTTGTTTGTTTGTTTTTCTTCACTGTTTCAGATTACTGCTTAATGCTAATAATGTTGCTATTGTAATGTAATAAAGAATTGGAAGTGGCTTGAGGTGAAGAGGCATAACAAAGTGTAGTGGAAAAGCTACAAAACAAAAGAGTTCTCCAGTCAGAGAATTCTAATTGCTACAAACAGCTCCTCATGTGATTTGAGCCAAGAAAGATGAAAGAATTTGAAATTCTCAAGTACAGACATACTAGCGTGAGATAGCTGTCTTTCTAAAAGGCATGTGACAACTCAGGCAGAAGTTACAGGTTCACTACAGAGGTTATTGGATCTTTTAGTTTATATTATTGCTGGAGGTGATGGGTGATCGTGCCTTCTGTTTTTGAAATCCATCCTTTCAATCACTTTACAAATAGAATCACAGAATCAAGTAGGTTGGAAAATACTGACAAAATAAGTATCTTAAGCATAAGGGTTGTCTAAGTTGAGTTTGCTAAACTTGCTCTTGTTTTGTGTGTGCTGTTTGCTCCAGGACAACAGGGTACATATTGGACCAAAAATGGAAATTCGGGTTGTAACTCTAGGATTAGATGGAGCTGGCAAAACAACTATTTTGTTCAAGTTAAAGCAAGATGAATTCATGCAGCCAATTCCAACAATAGGTTAGTAGCAACAATTTAAATGTAATTATTTTTCTGAATGTTTGACTTATCTGTAGAATTTGCTTATTTATTATTATATATATTATTTATTATTATATATGCAGAACAAGACTGTAAAACTTCAACATTTTTATTCTAGGTTTTAATGTTGAAACAGTAGAATACAAGAATTTGAAGTTTACTATTTGGGATGTAGGAGGGAAACACAAATTGAGGCCATTGTGGAAACATTATTATCTCAATACTCAAGGTGAGACTGATATAACTTTTAAAATGTATTTTGTCTTCTAGCTGTATTTCAGAGCCAAAAAGATTATTAATAGAAATAATTTATAACTGTAGAAAATTGTTCCTCTAATGCAAAGTACAGCTGTTAGATTCATGTGCTAAGATATTTTAATCCAGTTGGTCATAGTGTCTGCTGCATGATAAAGGCGCGTTCTCCATAAATCCATCAGACAGTTCATGGAGCCAAACTAAATGAGAACCTTTGTTAAACTGGTTCTAGCTGACAACAGACAAGGTGCAGTGTTCCAAAGTTTGCATAGTGAGAAGTAGTACTTGCCAGGTGTGAAATTTATATAGCACTCAAAATGAAAATACTCAGCCTTTAGGAGCCTCTAGTTAAGAACTTAAAAAAATCTACCAAGTTCTGTAACTTCTGACTTGGTATTGCAATGTAATATCTCATCAGAGCCTAAATTACAGATTCTGAAAACACTGATCTGATTGGTGCCAACTTAGAAATTTGTGCTGTCCTTCTGTAAATCCTCCATAGTTGTCTTCTAATTTAGAAAAGGGTTCCTTTTCATCAGTTCGTTCAGAATTATCTGAAATACTTAGAAATGACAAACATCGATTTATGTGCTAAGAAATTTTCATTTCATGTTCATGCATTATTTCAGCCTTCATTGCAACCTTTAACATTGTAAATGGTTCACCTTTTCAGGCATTTAAAAATTGTATTTTGGGATTCCTGTGTCCTCTTGAAACTACTGTGTAAATCTCAGTAGCATGGAATCATGTCTGCTTTGAACAATAGTATATTGGAGAGAAATCCAAGCAGTTAACCTGGTGCATACCTCCAGTAAGCTTTGTTTAGTTTTGGTGTTGGGGATTTTTTTGTTGCAAAAAACCACAAGTTTAAATTCTGTCCTCTAGCTCTTGCGTCCCTGACTTTCTGGCATCTTGGTCACTCTCTGTAGTGGATAGTAAAATCTACTGCTGCTGTGTTGGTTCCATGGCAGTCTTCTCTGGATTGTGTAGTCGGTAGCTGAAGGAAGCTGTGCTTATTTGGCTGAATCTGTAGATTTTACAGCTGGTTAATGGAAACTGTAACAGTCATGTGGGAGTTGAGTATAAATAGATCAAGAAATGGTTTAAACTGAGGTACTCAATCCACACGTAGTAAACCTGGTTTTAGACCTAAGTAGTTAACGTATCACAGCCTTTATGCTAGACCAGGCAAAAACCTTTTTTTCCTAGTTTTAGGATGAATTCTAGGTTTTTGTCAAAGGTATAGAGGCATGTAAGATACTTCTTGGTCCTCCTGGATTTGAAATTGCAGTTGTGCTCTGATGAGGAATTTCACAGAGAAGAAGAAAAGAAAAAATAATTTTATAAGTTGAAAGCTAATTTTACAGAGTTTATATTTGAATGTGTGTAAAAGTTTCCTCTCTTGCTTTCATAGCGGTGGTGTTTGTTGTTGATAGCAGTCACAGAGACAGAGTCAGTGAAGCACACAGTGAACTTGCAAAATTGTTAACAGAGAAGGAATTGCGGGATGCTTTACTCTTGATCTTTGCTAATAAACAGGTACTTGTGATTTTTTTTCACTCTGTTACTCTTTTCCTCAGTTTCTGTATCAAATTCCACTTTCAGAACCCTATGCTATGGGTAGGGAATGGTATAATGGAAAGCATAAAACACATGTTTTCCTTAGCACTGGTAAAATAGTAGATTCAACAACCATTTTTTGTTTTATGGTAACAAGTAGTAAACACATAACTGATTTGGCTTTTGTGTTTGGAAAGTTTTTATACGCTCTCTAGTTTCTCTCAGAGCCATCAGTTAAAAATAGAGTGCTTCAAACATAATACAGGATAATTATTTGTATCTGATTCTGTTGCAGGATGTAGCAGGTGCGCTTTCAGTGGAAGAAATCACAGAGCTGCTCAGCCTCCACAAACTCTGCTGTGGCCGGAGCTGGTATATTCAGGGTTGTGATGCCCAAAGTGGTACAGGACTTTATGAGGGACTGGACTGGCTTTCAAGGCAGTTAGTGGCTGCTGGTGTCCTGGATGTGGCTTAATTTTGAAGCAGCTGCAATTTAAGGTTGTGGTTTTGTTTTGTTTGCACGATTTAGGATGTTATAGCCAGGTCTGCTGTCTGAAGAGGGGACCTTATTTACCTTGGGGGTTACAGGAAAACTATAAACCTTTATCCAAGACTGGATAATTGGTTCATTAAATATGTGCCATTACAGTGGTTTTGAAACATGATACATTTATAAATAATGGAATTGGCTGGTTACAAGGGTGCCTTCAAATTTTGCTTTGGTGAAACTAGGTTGTTAAAATTATTCCCTGGTAAAATATGCATTGAATTCATCTAATAGTTATAACAAAGTTACAGTGCTTAATTTGTGACAGGAAAATTGGTGTCAGAAAAGAGGTTTAGAAGCACTTCCTAGGAAACTATTCCAAAATCCATCTCAAGATATTAGAATAGCCAGCTCTGCCTGTTAGTCAGAAATAAATGGTGCTACTCTTTAACATATAAGGAATACATTTGTCTAAATGTGGCATTGAAAATTACAGGCAAATACACTATGAAAAACAAATGTCTTCCCCCTTATTTCATAGCTTCACCATTTGTTACTGGAAGACAGCATAACAGGGCAAAGTAACCTGCGCATGGGGAACAGTGTTGCAGGACAATGAGGCTGTGGCTTTGTTTAGCTACTAGTTTTCTAGTTGGGGCAGGGGTTGGGTGGGTTTCTTGGTTAATTGTACACATGCTAAATTATTTAGGGGCAGATTATAGTGATACTGAGGTGAAAGTGTTTTGTACGTGCTTGAGGACATAATCTGCTTTTAGAGATAAGCTTGTTCCTCAAGAAGTCAAGTTAAAAAAACACCCAGACTTCTCAAAGAAGACGTGTGGTGTAATGTCAATCCAGCTATGTACTGTTACGTAGAAGTCATGCTTCCAGATTAAGGTAGTGGCCTTAAAATACGAAATAACACAATGTGAAAGCAGTATGCGCTACTTGTAACTCTCACTTAGAAGAGCAGATGGTAAAATGTGATATAAACCTTCCATAATTAGGTTTTCAGTCCTTACTGTGTCTTCTACATGGAACTGTCACCAATGCCTCTATTTTCAAGGATTACTCATTCACAAACCCATAAAATATGGGCGTAGCACTGTTCAGAGAAGGTTGCAATGAGTTAGTGATGACTCTTTTTTTAGTGCGGCACATGCAAATTTGCTAACACTTCTGTCTGTCTGGTATGTGCACCACTATCTTCTGCCCTCCTTTTTAAGTACACAGCTGTTGCCGATTGAAGATGCCATGCCATGGACCTCTCTTCGTGTCGCAGGAGCAGCTACAAAGAACGTGGCCAATAGATCAAAACCGTGTATCATCACTTGTTACTGGAATACAGGTGAATTGGGAGAACCAGACAGTGGAAGTGAGCGGTGTTGTTTCCTAGATGGGGGTAGGTAAACACTGAAAAGCATGTGTTTACCTGTGAGTGCTCTGAACCTCACCAGGCAAAAATGTATCCCATTATCTGTGGCTATGGCTTTTGTTGTAATATCAATTTTACATTTTCCCACTGTATACCTTATGTAAAGCCAGGAATGTATGAACAAATAATTTAGTACGTTTGCACTTCTCTTCAAGACGAAGCAATTAAGATAACTACTTCCTCCAAATTATGCTTATTTATAGTTTTATCTTGTTTCTTAAATGGCATGCAAATGGTTCAGCAAGTCTAATGACTTGAATAGTAGTTGGAAGAACACTAAGCTTTACAAGTAAATGTTTGAGAAATAAGCTTCAATGCCTACGTATGTGTGTAGGTACTGAGAAGGAGTATTCACTCTTCTGTCAGACAACCTTATGAATTTGGAAAGTTTACAGAGGAGTGAAAGGTGTTTTTTCTTGCACCAAATGAACTAAAAATTATTGATGCTTCTGAGCATGTAACTCCTTGCACAACAGACAGTTGGCTGCTCTGACTTGAGTGTCTGCTTAGACTGTACTGAAAGCAGACGCAGACCTAGGTGGGGCTGACTGTCCCTTCACAGCTTTTTTTTAAAATATGAACAAGTTCTGCTAAGCATGGTAGATACCTTTTCCTGGAATATTTTTAACAGAGAAGACACACATTCTTTAGGAAAATCCTGATTCTGTAATTTTATTTGAGCTGGCTTATGCTGCAGTTATACATGCCTCAGTATAGTTCTGCTTCAAAATGTTCAAGGTGACTAGTTTGGATTTTCTGTAACATTACCTTTGAGGGCAGAGGAAAAATTCTCATATTTTTGAGTACAAAGGATTGCTTGTGACACATGGAATGCTACCATAAAAGTGTTCTTAAATTCCATTTATTTAAGATGACTTGAAGTAACTGTGAAATTGCTGCATTTGTCTGTGAACTCTTCAGTGCAAGGTACACTAAGAGGTTTATTTGTATTATGCATTAATACTACATATAAACTGCTTCAGGTATAAATTTAAGCTTGTTTCACCAGTTTTACTGAATTTTAGGTTTAGTGTACTGACTTATGTGGTATGTAATTGGAGTATTTCCTCAACTAGAACTCACCGAAGCATTACTAACTGTGAGGATTATTTGAAAAGACTGAGTAACTTTTCATAGGATTTTGACCTAATTGTGAAATTGAGTAAATACAACATCCAGTGACTGTGTTGTGGCTTTCTTTAAAGAATCTCAGCTCAAAACCAGTAATGTCTAGGCTAAGTGAAAAATAATGTTTTCTCTTTTGATAGGGTCTTTCTATATGCTACCTTTGGATTTATTGTGGACTATGTGGGACATGAGTGTTTTATTCTGAGTTCTTCCTCTGAACTGGTGGAGTAGGTGTTATGTAAAAAGTTCTTAAAAGAAAGGGGTCTTCCAGGGGAAACAACTCATGAGCTGCTGCAATTTAAGTTGCCCAGAAAGCTAATTCTTTTCAATAAAAGCATCTAAAACTTTGAGAACAAATTTCAGTAAACTTGTGTTTTTCTTTTTTTTTTGTTTTGTTGAGGTCATTTCAGAATAAAGGTGTGCTATATTTAACTAACTGTAGAATTTTCTTATTGATCCCTAACGATACCCCTTTATCTCAGTGAAAATAAACTTCCTAGTAGTTGCAGCGTTTGAGGGACTGAATTTGATCAGCATGTGTCACTTCATGAACAGTTAATCCTGAGTGCAGTGGTGTTATGTGAACATCAACAGCCAAAGTTAATGTTACTGTATGTAGAGATTTCACTGTCCAGCACTGGACAGTACCTAGCTACAGATTCACACCAGCTTGAGAAAGTGTCTGGGTTTTCATTGAGGACTGCATCAGAAGCACCTAATGGAAGTTTGAGATGATTAGCATTTTAAGTTTTCAGTAGAAGTAATAATATTTGTAGGACTGGGTTGAAAATAAAGGCAGAAACAGACACCCTAGACTAAAATAATGAAAAAGCAAACACTGAAAGAAAGTAACACTGGAAAATGCAAACATTTCGCACAGGATTCCACAATCTGGCATTTCAGAGTTGATCCTTGCTCTTGGACACAGAAGACACATACACAACCATTCTTAAAGGGCAAAGGTAGATTATATACCTTGTCATAACAAGCTGTATCATAACTTAATGTGAGATGCATGTACATTGACTGAAGAGTTTACACAGCTTGGGATTTATGACCATTTCATTTATCAAAGATTTCAATACTGTGAAAAGGATTAATTAGATTTGAAAGATGCAAATAAACATGAAAAAACTACAAACTATATCCTGATCCTATTTTAGAAACAGTAATATGAGGCATGGTTTTTATTGAGGTGGGTTTTTATTCTTCGGTTTTGCATAGAAGAGATGCAAGAAAAACAGCAGACTTTGTAAGAAACATGCAGATGTTTTTACTTTAAAATACAAAATTAGCAGAAATAGATTTAGGGCACTTTAGGTACATTAAAAACAGTAAAACCAGTGATTGCTCTGTTCTGGCATCTATAACATCTAGGAATTACCAAAAATGCTTCTGTTCTAGTTCCTTTTTTGGGTCTCACTTCACTGTGATATTAATGATGCTGATATCCTCATAGGGTTTGTCAGTTTTGGGATTCACTTTTACATTTGAGATTCTCTGAACAACTTCCATTCCTTTAGTCACCCGTCCAAACACACTGTGCTTGTTATCTAGCCATGGCTGTTTTGAGGACACAAGAGGAGAAAAAAAAACATATTAAAACAGAATGAAGCATGTTGGTTAGGTACCAAACCAGAAAGAGACTGACCTACAATAAGTGTACATAGATAGATATTGTATGTTCAGATTATGAAACTTAACACCATGTAAATATTACCATGTAAATAAATACTAGAGTGCAGCTAATACATATTTATATGCATTTAAGCTCACCTTTTCAATTGTTTTTGTAAAGTACTACAGAGGTGGAGCCCTAGCAATGCAGTAGGATTTCATAGTTTAGTTTAAAGTATATTCTCAGTTCAGAGAAATCCTGGTTCTCTATAGTCTATTTCATGGTATTTTCACAGCTGAATTGTAACTGCCAGTCCAGAATACTACTGAATTCAAAATCATGTTCACAGAGTATGCCCAATTAGCAATGTGCATATAGGCACTGATACAACTTAATAAGCCTCAATTATGGTAGATGGGTGCTTTTTATAAAAAGAGACACAGGATTTTGAAATAAGTGCTATAAGAATGCAGTTTTCTTTAGGTGTTACCTTTAAGGATTTGTTTTGTATCTGTATGAATCACATATCAAAATTTCTGGGTTTTGGCACTGAAACTACACAGATCAAATGAAATCTTCAAGTCTAAATACTGGCTTCTTTTATAGCTACAATTAGGCAATATTAGAGACTCATCCTGGCACCATACCAAAAAACTTCTATCTAAGTAATAGCTAGATCTACATAATTTTCTATTAAATACTCTAGTAGTACAGAATTGCAAACAGGCCTGATTTACGAAGAATTTGGTATTGCCCTTACCTAAATTAAAGGCAAAAGGACTGTTTCAGTGAAGCCTACATAGTATACATTCTGCGCAGCATTTATTTGCAAAATGACAAGGAAGTACTATTTGGATAGTACTAGTGTGTTACTTTTTCCATTAGTTGAGCTCAGTTGAGCTTTTAATATTACTTACAGTTGGCACTACTGTTATAAAAAACTGGGATCCATTGGTATTTGGTCCTGCATTAGCCATGCTGAGTGTGTATGGTCTGTCATGTCGTAAAGTCGAATGAAATTCATCTTCAAATTCTCCTCCCCAAATACTTTCACCTCCCATTCCTGTACCAGTCGGGTCACCAGTCTGAATCATGAAACCCTGCATACAAATGAAATATTATTACCTTATCACATAGAATAAATTAAGAAAGTGGTTTATACCAGGTGACATTGGTTTTCAAACTTACTTCAAACCTTTCAACAAAACTTAAGTGTTAAATTGCTGTGGACAAGAGACAAAGCATTCAGGGCTTCTGACATGATAATAAAGTACTTGTGAAAAAACAAGCTTACTCGCTGTTCCTCTGAAGGAACAAAAATCTGATAACCTGCGCCTTACACTTAGGCTTGATTCAGCTTGATTCATCCTTAGACATGAATCAGCTTGATTCTGGTGTAACAGACGTAAGAAGCCTTACAAGAAATGCCTCTGACATGAAACAAAGTCTTAATTCAAGCAGGATTTCTGAATTTTCTCTCTATTTTTGTACTTCCACCTTGCCAGTTACAAAACAACTATTAAACAACTTCAGTGAGTGATAAAGACTTCAGAGGTAACTCAAGCCATTCCAGAAATCCTTTGTGCCAAAGGGAAATGAACAGAGGGGACTGACCACAAAGGTACATTATCTAAACCAACAAAAATATAACTTTTTACAAGTTACCTTGATGATACGGTGAAATATGTGTCCATTGTAATAACCATTTCTGCTGTGCACACAGAAGTTTTCCACTGTTTTGGGGCACCTAAAATCATGCAACAGAAAATATAGGCTACAGTAAATATAAAACTGAGGTGGCAAGGCCATCAAGATTTCAGCTGAGCATAAGATTCTTTTATACTGTGCATTGTTTTAGCAGTCTGTAGAAAGAAAGGACTTTCATCAAATAAGGAAACAAATTCCCACCTCCTCAAACCCAGAGCCTGAAGCAAAAAAAACGAGTTCAAAATTGCATGATTATACAGGAGTGATACTTCAGCTATTGCTAAGCAGTGCTTAAACAGATCAAAGGCCTTTTCTGCTTTTGATGCCACCCCACCAGCAAGTAGGCTGGGTGTGCACAAGAAGTCAAGAGAGACGTAGCTGGGACAGCTGACCCCAACCGACCACAGGGATATTCCACACCACATGGCATCATGCTCATCATATAAAATGGGGTGAAAAGGAAGGGGGAGACATCCAGAGTGCTGGTGTTGTTTTTTTTCACAAGTGACATCACACGTGATGGAGCCCTGCTCTCCTGCAGATGGCTGAACACCTGCCTGCCCATGGCCAGTGGTGCATGAATTCCTTGTTCTGCTTTGCTTGCATGTGTGTGGCTTTTGTTTTACCTATTGAACTGTCTTTATTTCAGCCCTCATGTTTTCTCACTTTCGCCCTTCCAATTTTCTCCTCCTTCCCACCAGGGAGGAGTGAGCAGCTCTGTGGAGCTTAGTTGCTGGCTGGGGTTAAACCACAACAGTACGTGTTTCCTCAAAGTCTAATTCAAGGCACTGCTTATGAGTTGTTCCTTCCCAGCTTTCTACTTACATAGTTTATTTACAAAAACAATTAAGGAGTGAATCCATAAAGTTGTTCACTCTTTTACCTTTGTAAGTCTATTAAGTTATATATGTAAGTTGTCCGGTGTTGCATACAAAAAGTGAAATCAAAAAATACAATTTTCTAATATTATAGAACTTTTAGTCGTTTGAGTCTCTTCTGCTTCAGAGGAGGATACTTGCAAACATTGGAAGCAAGATGAAGAGGTGGAATATTAGTGTTGGACTAATGAGGAGGGAAAAAAAAACAAACCTCAACCAACCCCTTCACTTTTGTGACTTGATCTTTTCCTTCCAAGAGATCTGCTTCCAGAATAAAAATTCTTTGCAACAGCAATTCCACTTGTTTTATGAAATGGATTAGCAGCCAGGGTAGATCTACACTGACAGTTTTACACAGTCACACACGCTTTCTCAGCAAATGAGAAAACAGCCAAGTTGGGTCTATAGCTATAGAGTTACTCTAGCTGTGACATGAACTATTTCATGAACAAAACACCAGTGGCATAATTGATGGAACAGACAAGATTATAGCCCCAGTTTCTGCTGAGCAGTACACAGCCATTCACAACTTATCCCACAAGCACATGGCCAAAGATTTAAAGGGCATACAAAGCCACATCCTGTATGCTCTTCTTTAGATTTTTAATCACATTCATCTTAATAGAGATATTAAATTCAAAGCTCAGCTGGGAGGAATACTAGAACAAGAAAGGACAAACCTAACAATAACTAAGCCTGGTAATACTGTGTTTATAACATTACATACAAAAATTGCTGTGAAATACCTAACAATACTATGCAGGCAAATACAGTGGCACACTGGCATGAAAATCAAAACAAAAGGTCAGAAACAATGTAGCCTGGCCTGTCATTCACTGGTAAGGGCTGTATCATTACTGCAACTATATGCTGCAGTTACAAATTCCAGAAACTAAGGCCTGATGTGAGAAGACATTCATGAAGAGAAGAGCAAAAGACTAGCAGCCCTACAGGGTAGAATTGAGGTGGTGTTACCCTACCTGTGCTTATGACAAAACATGAATTTGTTTTTGGAGAAGCATACTGACAACTCTAGCAATTGTCATGCATAAAACTCATCTAATTATATGCCTGGTTTTGGATATATACTGCACTAACATTATACGCTGGCATAGATTTTATGTTGCTCTTGAAGGAGCTGTAATAACATAAAATGTAGGTCATGATTGGAAGTTGCAAACTATTACTCCTCTGACTTACACAGACCTGCCAAATCTACTGCTGCTGCCAACATGACCTTTTTTTTTTTTCCCAAGACAGAATCGAACAGCACTGGCTTACAGTAACACACAGCTTACACAGAAGGGTATCATAAGCTATCCACATATGTGGTTTAGAGAAAGAACAAAAGTTAGGAAAGAAATAAACCCCCTTAACTAATAATAAAGGCAAAAATAATTAAAAAACACACACACAAAGAAAACCAAACCAAAACACTTATTTTTTACCCTACTTTATTTGTATTTGTCAAGCATCACATGCCTAGCTTGAAGTATTGAAAAACTGTTGGGAAATGAGGAGAGTAGAAAAAGGGGAATAATTACTCCTAGCTTCAAATGCAAGTCTTGAATACTGCCACCAAAAAACATGGAAGAAAAAAACAAAATAACAGAAAAATTACCAAATACATACTCAACAGGAAAAAGCTTGACATGAATATCTCCCATGCTTGTGTGGATGATGGCACTGTCTGAAACTCTTTTGGGACCTTCTGCCTGAGTGGCTGCCATGACCTCTTCTTTAGAAGGTTTCTCATTAAACACATCTCTGTCAGAATCTGCACTCTTTGTATCTTCTGGTTCACGTTTAGTAAACTTAAGAGCAAAAGAACAGAAGGTTAATTGTTCGGTTTTCTCTTTTTCCCCTTATCTTAAGCAGCGCTCTGCACCCAAGACATCAATGCAATTATTCAACCTGCTAAACACCCAACTATATTTGAAATGTAAGAAGAGAATTCATAGTCTATCCTTTCATTTCAGTGTTGTGCATTACCAGCATTTCCAGAATCTCAAATTCCAGTACAACTACATGCAAATCCAAGTAACTCTTTTTAATCTGTTATCTTTAAACGTCCTCCCCTTTTCACCAGAAAGCCCACAGTAGTTCAGCATCTTTTCTTTAAAAAGAGTGGAGAATATCAAGTTGTTCTATTATATTCAATCAAACTGGCAAGTTTCATCACAAAACTTTTAGTTTCACTACAAAGTCACACTAAATCCTCTTACTCCGATACTGCATGAATAAAAAACTACAGAAAAAAAAGAAAATTTTATGGAAAACAGCAGAAATCTCAGGAATGTGTTATATGTACAGAAAAATACAGCATAAATATACAAGTACACAAGCAGCTGCTTCATTTAGTAGTAGACTTAATTATCAAGTCACAATCACTACATCTTCCTGCATGCAGTCACGTTCTCTCTGAGTAATTAGTTTCCAGATGCTATCTTAACATTTTTTCCTCACTTGTAAAATCAGAGTAGTATGTTCAATTATATACTACAGATTAACACACAAAGCTTTAGAAAGTATGCTATCTTACTCCAACATAAAACACAATCAAATTCAAGCACATTTAGAGAAAGACAACAGACATCCATCTCTAACCTCTATGGTGATCACATCCCAGATCAACCATAACTACTCTGGAACAGTCTGCTTGGCTTATTCATTGCTTATCACCTAAAATCTGAACTGTGATCAGAAAGATGACTCCTGTCTTTGTTAGTTGCTCATAATGTCCTTTGTGCTACTAAGTCTTGATGGTGCTCTGGCTTTATTTTTTATTACTTATTTTATACACAGAGTTAATTACTGTTTCTTTATCAGCACAGATCTTGGGTTTTTTTTCAACTAGAACAAAAGCATGTAACTTTCTTGGAGAACTGCAATTTACACTGCCAAAACCATCCAGGTTTATCTAACTGCTTGAGCAATAATGAAAAAAATTAAAGCTGTTTCTAGTCAATTTATAGCTAGTTCAAGCTAAAAATCCTTAAATATACTTGCAATATGAACGGACTCCTCTGGAAAAGTTGTGTTTGCAAATATTCAAGACAAAAGTCACTGGAAAGGTGCAACCAGAAAAATATAAACTAACGCAGAGAAAACATCAATAAAAGAATTGAGTTATTTAAATAGAAAACACACACACCATGTAAAACCTATTTTTTTTAAAAGCTGTGCAGATTACTGTTGGATCTGCCTGGATATTCTGGAGCACAGGATTTTCAGATGCCTTCATCTCTATAGTGATTGCAGCACGATGTTTCTTTGCTACTCCTTGGAACAATGCTAGTTGCATCATTCTGATGTTCTCTTGTTTTCCCAAGATACGAATACACCTGAAGTACAAGATGGTAAAAGATGTAACTACTGTTAGCTGCTCACAGTCAGAGAAGGTCTCCTTTCTGACTGCAAGACTTAAAGCAAAATTCCAAACCTCTCTCAAAATATTTTACTGATTGTTTTTATGATGCTTCTCTATTCCAACTTGCTACCTAATTTACTAGTCAGCCTCCTTATGTGATATAATCCCAGTGGCATGATCCATATTTAATCTTACCACATCCGTTTAGCCAGAGATTAATTGATTATACATTTTTAATATAAATACGCTTGCCATGTTTTCTGTTCATTTTACTAAGCTTTAAACTGCAACAACTCGTTATGAAGCATGGCAGTATATTATCTACAGTCTAATGTTAAAAGCCTAAATAAAACAGAGACAATAACTGGAGACGCGCACAGTCATATCAAGTTTGACTGAATATAGACTTTGAAACAAAAACATTTATCTCAGTGTGTCATTGGAGCTTACCTGTTAGTCTCTACATTTATGACCTTAATGCCCAACATTGTTCCATAGAGAACGAAGTGTCCAGTTTCATCAAAAATTATATTAATTAATCTTACTGCATCCACTTTCTCTAGCTCACGCTCAACTGCCATTCGTCGGCCAAACTCCATGTCTGGAAGTTGTTGTCTCATCTGCTGAAGTTCAGTAAACATCTATGGGGAAAAAAGGGGAAAAAAACCCAACACTGTTATGTAAATGTATTTTAAACCTTTGATCCAGCAAAACACTGATCACATCCTTAGAAAACACAGAATTCAAGTGACTCCACCCAAGCTTAATTGAGGAATTAACATAAATACAAGTAATGCTCTATTCTAATGTCTCAACAGGCACATTGTAGTACTAGGCTTAAGCAAAGAAAGAAAACTCTGTAGCTGCCTTACAAATTTCTTAGAAGAAGACAAATTAATTATTATGTTGTTACCTGAAACAGTTATTTTCCCCAATTGCTTTCTAGGAAAAAGTAATCTAGCAGTATGAAAGCACAGATGAAAATCAACAGCTCAGTTTCATTACAAAACTAGCATAAACCAGTGAGAATTAATTTTGGGGCAAAGCAATAAAAGAGGCAAGGAAGAGAACATGGAAAACCTTTTCTGCAAGAAAAATACAGCACAGAAGCTCAGCTTTAGAAACAGACAACTTAGGTGAATGTGCTAGTAAATAAATTCAAGTAGAGAAAACGCCCCAAAAGAAGAGAAGCAAAACCAAACTCACACTCAGAGATTCATCGAAGACTCTCATGAGCTTCCCTGTCAAAAACCGGAAAATTCTAACTTTTCTGTCAGACCCAAGAGTGGCCATTTTCTTGCCATCAGGAGAAAAACTTATACTGGATGGGTAAGCCTTGCATTTGGCAAATTCATACAGATCAGTATCTGTTTTATACTCCCAGTTCACATTCTTCGGAAATTCGTATTCGTGAGGAGTACCAGTCCAGTACTCGATCATTCCAGATTTGTCAGAAGACACCACTACTTTGTAGACAGGGTTCAACCGTATCTGAGTAAGAGAGGATGTATGGAGTTTATCAAAAACATGAAGTGGCTGGTTATTTCCTCGTCCATCATATATGAATATTTTTCCTGTGCTCTTCTCAGATGTTGCAACAGAAGATATGGCATCTCCAGGGCAATATACCCATTCACATTGGCCAGGGTGGTAGCTGCAATGAAGAGTGGAAGGAGAAAACAATGCAAAACAAAATAAAACAAATAAGGAATGTTATTATTTAGATAAGAATCCATTTACGCTATAAACTTGAAATCAAATAATCAGAAGCAAATTTTGAACTGTATCTACTAGTCTTGCTAATATTTGTCTTCCCAAAATCCAAGTGTTATAACGAAGCTTTTCCAAGCAATACAATTCAGTGGATGGCTCAGCCAATTGCTGCTGCTCCCATTTCATTTTATAAAGACTATGTGACAGAACGTGAAGGTAGAAGGTAGGTATAAAAGAAGAATAAGGATGGAAATTCAGCTAAATAGCACAAATGGCATTAATGACTAGTACTCAACTTCTATGACTTAATAGCATTTCTCTTGCTACTGTTAAGTGTAATCTTGAGTGGAAATGAAGACATGTAAGCACATGTCATGCAATCTGCCATGCGTTCTGTATGCATTCAAAGCTGCCATGCACCTTTGCCATGCACTTACAGAACAGTTCAACTAGATCTTGCCAAAAAAACCCCAAACAACCAAAACTAAAAAGCTGTGTAAGTAGAATTAAGCCAATCGCCCTATATTCAATAAGCATTCTGAATGCATTTAAGGAGGAACTCATTAGCTACTAGCAAAAACATACTCTACAAATAAAACAAACCAAAGATACAGTCAATGATGTAGGTTATGTCTGGTTTTTTTTAAAAAGTCTGTAAGCAAAGATTTTGAGAACCAGAACTCAGAAACTAAATGAAAGACCACAAAGAAATTGACACAGTCTTTACAGGGAACTTGTATTTCGTATCCTTTCATAAATCAAAACAGATACTGAAGGACTAACAAATGACAGACACTAATAATTTGGATTTTCAGTGCCTGTCTGGTTAAAGAGTCTTGTAAAGAGAAACATAATCAGAACTTTGTCTCAGGTTCACTAGAAAGAATAGGATTTAACAAATACATAAATAAATAAATATGATGCCTCATTACCCAAAGTTCCTGCAGATATAACTGCCTTTGTCCAAATCACTGGTGGAAGCATAAAGCATGGGAATTTGCTGATAGTCACACTGTATAGATCAGTTAGAACCAAAGGGATCTGAAGTATTTGAGACAAAGCCAATCAACCCTGCAGAATACCAGCAAATACCTATTAAAGCAGGCAATGCAAGTTAACATGAGCAGAAAAGACCACAGAAAACTTAGGATTTTACGTTAACCACTGCAAACCTGAGCAAACAGCCATGAAAAAAATTCTCAAGCAAGTCAACAGAAACTATCTGCTCAATATTAAGAATAATGCAGAAGACAGAGCAACAAACATTAATGCTTGTATTACAGCTGTATACTGTTCTCTTCTTCATTAAAGACATCACTTCAGGTAAAACCCAATTACATCTGGAAAAAATATATGGGCAGAAAAGGGTCTGGCTTACTGAGGCTGAGAAATATCTGTTTAAAGAAAAATCAGGGAACATATTACAGAAAAATGTTATAGGCAGCATTCACAGGGTATCCCTGAAGCAAAAATCATTTAAATTCTACCTCAGTTTTCCCTGAATTCTTAAACAGAAAAAAAACACCTTTTACTGTAACATCAAATTACATTTTTCTTTAAGTTAAATTCAATTTTACCAATTTTGTACAGGGCTGCTAAGTAGAAAAGACCAGCAAAACCAAAAGACTAACGCTAACTGAAATTTTTCCACAGCAGACAGACAAAAGGGAATCAATTTCTATAGGCTAGGTACACTATCTGGAGCATGATACTAAATCTATAACCAGCAAAACAGGTAACATAAACTTTCATACTGGCATTCTGAAAAGCTTTCCCCCTGCCTCGAGTTAATACTTCTGTTCAATTTCATAATTAACCAACAAATAGTATACTATGAGGAATAAGTTTTCCAATTTTATAAGGCTTGTGGAAAAATCAGCAGTTCTACCGTTCTTATCATTCATTGATCCTCCAACCCTCCAAACGTACCCCTGTTAACATTATGGAGCTTTTTTTCCTCTGGTAGTATTATAATTCCAATAACATCCATTCCTGTTTTCCCCAGATTCTTTAACAACATAATGGGTAACTACAGAAATTCCGTAACAGCAAGACAAATGAAAACAGTAACATTCTTTCTAACAGAAGGAGGAAATTTCTACCCCTATGATAACAAATAACACAATACATACAGGGCAAATCCCTTCTGTACCGGAACTATCAGTCAGTTATAATATTTAAGTTCAGTGCCAAACAGAAGGAAAAAAAATGCTTAGCTAAATATTTTTGAGAAGCACTACATCTTTGCATTTGACACTGAGGAAAGGCATAGACCTACTCCACTCATGTACTGTTGCAGACAAAGTCAAATTTTTCTATTCAGTCAAGCAGTCTCCAGCCATTGGATGCATTTTGGATAATGTAACTCACTCAGCTTCTTCTCACTGGAGGAAACAAACTCGACGCCTCCCCACCCCCCCCAAATTACTGACTTACCTCTTGGCAAAATAACTCCCATTTATAATCTCAATCAAACATTTTCAAGAACTAAGTCACTTACGTAAGTTTCAGCATGTTGATCATATCAAAGTTGACCACATCAAACACCTTCATTGCTTTGTCATCTCCAACTGAACAGAATAATGCCCCCTCCGAACTAACAGCAATGCTCTCAATAACACCTATTAAAAAAGTTAACGTACTATTAACGCATAGGAAAGGAACATTCTTCATTTCAATATTCCACAGGAAAAAACACCTCCAGGGGTTTAAACCTGTTTCACAGCTGTTTCTCCACCTTTTTTTGATCAAATACACTACTTGATTTTAACAATTAAAAAAACAAGCAAACATACCAAAAAGAAACCCCAAGCCCCAAAACCACAACACACTGTATCCTATCAATGTTTAGAATCAGATACATGATAATGAACGACTAATCATATACACAATTGAAAGCTTATAATGGCAAGTATTTTCACCGAAGATGTTACTTTTAAAAAATTGAAAACAAAATTATGTTTTCTTCAGCTTGCATCTCTCAAAAGACAAAAAGCAGCAGAACTTTATTGACTATTACACACTTAATACTTTAAATCACTCTGCAACTGAACCTTCCATAAGTTTTACACAATACTTATTTCTGCTTGGTAAACTTTGTTCTCACATTTTGTTTCTGTATGCAATGAGAAGATAACAGTTAAGATCAAGAACCTATAATAACAATTTTTTATAACTCTAAAAAGAAACGGTACTTTCACGACCTATTAGTAGATATTTTTTCTTACTGTAACTGTTTTATTTTCCATCAGGCATATCGTCATTTCTAATAGCAAAGATAATCTCATTTTCTGCCCAGGTTATCTAATGCTTAGCATATTACAGAAAAGATATGTGTACTTACTAACTCAGAAAATTGGATGAAAATTATTAATGCTTAGTTGCAAGTCAGCTGATGTTCATGACAATGATGGAGAATTTACTCTACAGTTGCTATAATTCTACTTGAAAATAACCATTAATAACAAAAAAACACATAAAAAATAAGGAATTGTCCTGGGTTCAGCTACAGCAGTCATTTTTTCCCTTCTTAGAGCTGGTGCAGGGCTGTGTTTTTGACTTTCAGTCTGGGAACAACGCTGATAACACTGGTGTTTTTAGTTGTTGCTAAGTCATGTTTACTCTGACCAAGGACTTTCTCAGTCTCATGCTCTGCCAGGGAGGAGGGGAAGCCAGGAGGAAGCAGAGGCAGGACACCTGACCCAAACTGGCCAAAGGGCTATTCCATACCACAGCATGTCATGCCCAGTATATAAACTGGGGGGAGTTACCAGGAAGGCCCAGATCGCTGCTTGGGTCGGACTGGGTATCAGTCAGCGGGTGGTGAGCGGTTGTGTCCTCTCCCCTTGTTATTTCCCTTATCATTATTGTTATTGGTGGTAGCAATAGTGGTTTTGTATTATATATATACCTTAGTTACTGGACTGCTCTTATGTCAACCCGTGGGAGTTATATTCTTCTGATTCCCCTCCCCATCCCTCCGGGAGAGAGGGGACAAAGAAGGGACAGAGTGAGTGAGCAGCTGCGTGGTTCCAAGTTACTGGCTGGGCTTAAACCACAACAGAATGAAGGCAGTCTTACTTAAAGCAACATACTTTTAAACTTCTCTGTGTTTCATGAATTCCGTATGTACCCTGTCCACTTGTGCCTTAGAAATTCCCACAGACAGGTCACAAGGCAATGCAAAGGGTATATGGGATCTATGCAGGAGAAGTCCCGCATATTTTATTCTCACCCTATCCCTCCTGAAGTTTGGGACCAAAATGTAACAGGGGAGGGGAATGGATGAAGACAGGTAAATACATCTAATCACTGACTGCAATAAATGAATCCCAGAACTCTTCGTCTCTTTATTTGCACTCCTCTTCATACTAAAAGGAAGGCAGGGGGAAAAGTAAGGTCCTTTAGAGAATAAAAGGCAACTTCTCACCCAGATGACTCCGGAAGTGTTTAACAAACTCAATCCCTTCTTCTATTTTTTTCCAGAATTTCACATGTCCATCATGACTGGCTGTTATAATAAAATCTGTCCTACAATTACAAAATAAAATAACAACCAAAATTACTGATCTCTGAAAAGTCAACAATCTGAACTGAATAAATATATAATACTATCCTTTTTGACTATGTAAATTTTACTCCTAGTTTCCATCTGGTTTCACAGTAGTTACTATTTACTAATGTGTGTGTGTGTGTGTACATGCGTATATACATAAAAGGGAAGAAAACTATCTCCTCAATCCATGCAGTTCTGCTGAATCATGTTTTGTTCAGATGCAGGTTACTCTTATTTCTGTATATACTGGACATTGCAATAAGGATTTTAAGAGCCCCTTTTAGTCTATTTACTCAATTTTTATCTTGCTTTTCAGTAAGCCCTTTCTTTTGAACTTAAGTTTTAAAAGAAACCCTTAAAATAGCCCCTCTGGACACAGTAATTTTCCATTATTAAAATTCTACAATGAAAACTTCCTAACATACAAAAATACAACTATGACAATGAGATACGGTGGGAAAAAAAAGGACTACTTACTTAGTACATGCTACATGTGTAATGACATCTCTGTGCATGTAGCTGCGTTCATACATTGAAGCACATGGCAGATTTTCAAGATAAACATGTTCAAATTCAAGAACTAAACAGAATAAAAAGAAAAATCAAGATTTTTTTTCATAAAGGTATATCTAGCTTCTCTTCTCCACTTTTTCACCTTGAACTGCTTACTCCCATCTTAATCAAGAATATGCTAGTTTGTGCAACCATAATAAAAGGGGTTTACACTGTCGCTTTGTACTTGAACTTACAGATACTTGGTAGACTAAAGGTACTAAAACTCTGCTTTAACCCAAACAGACACCCCCATTTAAAGCAACTACTATCTTGGCTGATCGAATATATACTAAAAAAAAAAAAAAAAAAAAAAAAGAAAAATCCAGTGTCACAGAATATCATAGAATAAAGTATCATAGAATACAACAATTTTTAAGTTACTGACAGATGGCCATCCACACCTCATTTTTTCCAAACCCAAATGTATCCCTGTGGTTTTTAAGAGATTCAAGATCCCACAGAGGTACCGTAGATTAAATTCTAAGCCACAGCACCTACCTATTTGTTTAACTGGCCCACCTAAAATGGTCTCATTTGCTGCTTTTGACTCTGATTTTTACATTCTAACCATTAATACCTGCACAGTGGCATCTGTTGCTGGACCAGCAGGGTTAACACTGTTAAACTCAAATTTACTTTACAGCGATACCCAGAGAGCTGTGGATTGCCGGGCACATCAATACCTAGGCTTCTCCTACTCCCTCAGCTTAGGGCAGTGATCCAGAAAACAGTTAACCTCACGGCTGACAGCAGCACAGCTTCACCAATGCAGGCGCTGTAAGCAGGAACTCTAAGCCTGAGGGTGTGCTCCAGAGAACGAATACAGCGTCTCCGGCCAGCACCTCCACAGCCCGGTCGTTTTACGTACGAGACACGGCTTCAGACCACGGGTTCCCCACATCCACCCGGGGCGCGGGGCATCCCCCCAGTGGCGGCCCAACTACCCGGGGGCTGGGGCCGCTCCCGCTGGGGCCTGCAGCCTGGAGACGATCGACCTCTGTGCTCCGGACCGGGACC